CCCTACGACAGTGTTGTCTCAATCGGCCCAACTTTCGGCCCCCCTTCCGGCCCCCCCTTTTGGACATTTCTGGATCCGCCCCTGGTGATTATGATAAATCCTTATACATGGCAAAGACAAGCCAAACCAGTCACTCCTCCTAAAATATAGATTTTTAGTTATTAATTTATAAAATCCGACATTTTGTTGTGAAGTGTCAGGAGTTTAAACATACATCTGTTTAAAGTACAGTATTGAGAAAGCAGCCTTCTGATTTATGATTTTGGACATTCCTCAGGCAGAGACCATCACCAAATCATTAAAAAATGTTGTTTTAATATTACAAAATGGGGAAAATAACAACATAGCACGATGTGTAGATACAGTATATGAAGTTTAGTTTAGTGCAATAAAATAGATTTTGAAAATTTTGACATTCCAACATGTTTTGGTCATTATATATCTGTGAACATAATTTGCGAGGAGTGACTGGTTTGGGTTGACTTTGTTACATAGTGCAGCTGACATACTGTATTTGCTCAACATATAGTGTTCCCATGTGAGTAAACACAAGTTTGAATAAGTGCAAGTTTGAATTATAGTCTGTTTGAATTAACGCCCTATTTAAATAAGCACCATATCATAGATCGCAATTTAATATTTACTGTAGTTAATTAAATTTCATTATATTAGATTTAACTTATGCAGAATTCATTGTGTTTATGTTTGAATACAGTTATTAGTTCAAATAAATAGTGATACTATGCACAGTTAATACTCCAACATTGGATAAGAGGAGGATCCTTTGAATATTATTGTATTTCAGGTAATTTTATCTGAATATTGGCTGGAAGCAGCAACAAGGCCCAGTGTGATTAAACCGGCAGATAAAGGAGGTGCTACTGTGGTCTGGCGCCGTGATTTGTACATCCTAGAAGGACAGCGTCAACTCTCTGATCGTGACACTTATTTGCCACTACCTGATGATCCTACGTCGGATGAACTTAACCTGGTTACTAATACTATTCACAATATGATCAAGGATAATGATCTACCGTCTAGCGCTAAGGTTCTCGTCAACAAGGCTCCTACTTGCTCCAAATTCTACATGTTGCCCAAGATTCACAAGGAGAATTCACCTGATCGCCCTATTGTTTCTACCTGCAATTGCCCTACTGTTGTTATCTGTCAATTTCTGGACTCTATATTCACGCCGCTCAAACATTGCCTACGTATATCAAGAACAGCAGTGAAGCCATCCGTATTTTCAACCAATTTTATTTCACTGGTGATCACAAGTATGTATTTACTATGGACGTTCGCTCTTTATACACATCTATACCTATTGACGACGGTTTAAATGCTCTTAAACATTTCTTAGAGAAAGATAATCCATCTAACTGTTCTACATCTTGCCTCATCCGACTTGCCGAGTTAGTTCTTAAGACTGCATCTTTTTCATTTAATGGCATCTATTACCGACAAATCTCTGGCGTTGGTATGGGAACTCGCATGGGGCCTAGTTTTGCTTGCTTGTTCATGGGCTATTTAGAAGAACAGATATTCGCTCGATACTCTGGAGCTACACCTCATCTTTTTAAAAGGTATATCGACGATGTTGTTGGCGCTACCTCGTGCTCACTTGATGAACTGAATGATTTTATTGATTATGTTTCGAACTTTCATCCAGCCTATGCAATCTCGGGTTGGACAAATATTCCACCTAGGCCTATGTAGGCCTATGTTCTATTTATGTTGTCAATATAATAATATATCATAGATTCATTAAATGCCTAATATGCCCTAAACGATAAAATATATATGACTTGACCAGTTTGTTCTCAATAGGCCTATTCTTGAATTTCTTAAACAAAATATTTTTTTAGATATTTCTGAGCGTTAATGCCGTACCTTTTCTGTTTTAAAAAATCTCAGAATGTATGAGTATTGAGAGTTTCGCCTGAGTAGACTCCACTAAAAGCTCTGTCTCTATGTCCAAACAGGTGCATTTTTACCAATTTTACATACAGCGCGGCAGTTATCTATGGCATAGTTACGGTACCAACCGTCACGCATCACTTCAAAGTGATTTTAGATGAAACGCATTTTGCAGAAACACTTGCGAGATCATAAATATGTCACGCATCAAATTCAGGGGAAACGCATTTAAAATGAGAAGAAATTGGTTTTATTAAAAATATAAAAACGGTCATACAGTAGCTTGAGTCATTAGAGAATCAATTCACAGAGAAAATTTCTCCTTTCCGACCAAACTACCCAGCAACGACGCACTTGTAGAATCTAGTAGTCGCTAGCAGTCTTGCGAGATTTATTGTTAAAACCAACCGTTGATTATGTGACGGGAACCCGAACTTCCGCAGGGATCTGTAATAAGCAATACTGTATACAGTATACTCGCGTACGTAGGTCCTATAAGGCGATCCGTGTATAAGACCATGGACCTATTAATAAGATAGGTCCATTAATAACTGATAACTTTGGATTGTATCAATGTTTTAATAAGTACATAAAACTATAATAATAATAATAATTAATAATTTTAATTTTATATCCGACTCTTCCCCCACACAATACTTGTTTCAATGAACTGTGTACAGTATATGTTTTATTTGATGATGTGTGGAAATAAATGAATAAATAAATAATAAATAATAAATTAAATTCATCGTGCCATTATTAATTATTATCAATACGGTCCCGGCGTCATCCATTGAATCGGGACGGTACGTACTACTTACCGCTTGACTTCACGATGTACACATGACATGCGTCATATCATGTAAAGATAATTATTTGTCCCGAATTATAATTTGTATTTTTAATGCATTACTTGAGATAGGTCCCTGCATTCAACAATTATGTGGATATTCATTGTACTGTTACTGTCAACTATTGCCCCGGCGTCACTAATTTTTTAATTGATTTAATATGCTGAATCATTATTAATGGTATATACCTATTATATATTTCTATAATTAATCAACAAATGTCTCATTAATCACACTATCGTAAATAGGCTTATTGAAGTATGAAGTATTATTAATTCTTTATTAAAGCATTATTCGAGCACCTTCATTATTATTATTATTATTATTATTATTATTATTATTAATATTATTATTATTATTTTTTTAATTTTATATCCGACTCTCCCCCCACACAATACTTGTTTCAATGAACTATGTACAGTATATGTTTTATTTGATGATGTGTGGAAATAAATGAATAAATAAATAATAAATAATAAATTATTTATCAACCATATTAACATTGAAAACATGAATTAGCCTATGTGGATAAAATTGTAACAGAAAATAAACTATAAGATAACTATAAGATTATTTTTTAAAACAGAATCAAAATACAGTACGGTAAATAACATTTTTATTTAAAAGCAGGTTATGCATGGACGTAGTTTTATTTAATATGCTGATTTTTATTAAAAATTATTATTATTATTATTATTATTATTATTATTATTATTTTATGTATACATGAATAGACCTTATATGCCAGGTCTAATGTATTATATTAAAAAATTTAATTAGAAATAATTATAATTATTAATTGTAAAACATATATAATATAATGTTAACAATAATATAAGCTAGGCTAGACCTAATCAATTATTGACACCATAATGTCATCTATCGATAAAAACATCGATTTGATTTGATGCGACTGTTCGCACTGTGGCAGTGCCGATAGAAAACAGCAACTTTTTCGCACTGCGGCAGTGCCGATAGAAAACAGCAGCTTTTTGGCACTGCGGCAGTGCCGATAGATAACAGCAGCTTTTTTTTTTTTCGCACTGCGGCAGTGACGATAGCCACTACCTGGAAGAAGAGAAGGCTACAAACCTCTTGTTATTCTTACTTTTTAGGCCGGTCAGGATTCAAAGCTAAAAAATCATCATGGCTGATGAGGGAAGATTACAAAAAATGGAAGTTGATTACACTGAAACTGTAGATAAACGGTTGCCAGAATGTGAAACCCTAACTAAGGTAATTTGAAAGTACAACAGGCCTATTTAAAAATTGTCTAGGGTAGGGCTAGGCCTAGCCTTGATAGCCTAGGCTAGGCTTAGACTAGGTAGGTAGATTGGATCGTTTCGCGACAGAGAAACTGATGTGACTCAGCAACAATCGGAAGAGATGGCCTCATACAGTTACCTTACCTACACATCTTATAAACCAACATATGTACAGTACTTTCTAGATAGACCACAGAACAACATACATACTATTCAATTCAAATAAACATTTATTTCTTCACACTTTTACAAATTATAAAATTAAACAATCGGATTTTATTTTTAAAAAGGATTGTGTTAAATAAAAAAAGAAGGCACTGCTGAAAAAGTATAGTGACGCCAAATGAAAAATAGACAAAAAGAAACACTGTTTAATTTATCAAGTCGCACTTATGTTGTAGTGAGCAACCCATATTAAAAGAAAGGATAAATGTTGTTAAATAATAATTCATAGTTATAAGAAAACAATACAAAAACAAAACATGGATACTACACGAAGCGGATATGGAAAAATGATTGAGCAAAATATGTCAATATTATAATAATAGAGGGTATTTGAAAAATGAAATTTGGTTTTATTTGATGTAAATATGTTTAAATATAAGAGAAAATTGTCCTAGAAGGTGCTGATGTATTAAATTTCAAGGGTGAGTTCATTAAAAGTTTGAAATCACTATATTGAATATTTGTGTTGGATTAAAGTAAGTTTGGGTTGAGGAAGGTGAAGTTGTCACTATTTTTGGTGTTGAAGGATCTAAAAACTCAAATAAGTACATAAACTGTTGTTTTTTAAAATATTTTTTTTTCTCTTATTTAATTAAAATTCTTGATGTTTTACCTTTAAACTTAGTATGAAATACATTTGTAAATTTAATTGATGTAAGTATCTCTGTGATTGTTACTTGTTATTTTATTATTATTATTATTATTATTGTATTGTTACTTTTTATTTTTATTATTTGATTTTCATTAATATTATTATTTGATTATTTTTAATATTAAATATTAATATGGAATATATTTTATTAAAAATATCATTTTTATTAAGTCCTATAATATAATCATTATTATTTTATTACCTGTACTATTTTTGCAAATTATTATTATTTATTATTGTTATCTCTTAAAATTAGTTTCTCTGTTAATGTGTGCATTTTTTTTACATTAATATTATATTGATACAAAAAAAGTTAGGGATTATGAAAATATAAAATCATATTAAAGAAAAAATAAATAAATAAATAAATGTAAAATAAAAGAAACAACATATAGTGACAATAATATTACATACTTGTATTAATGCTTTTTAAAAAAGATAAATAAATAATGCATAATAAAGGTTGATTAACATTCAATTAGTGGGCAATATTTCATTTAATATAATTGTTCTGTATTTATATATTGCACAGCAGTTAAGTGTTGTTTGCAATGATGATCAACAATTTCTCCAATTCTATCTTAAGGAAATTTTAAATAAAGGTCATTAAGCAAAATGTGGGCTCAGCCTACTTCATTTTACTAACTAGCCATAGTAGGTCTTCAGCAAGCCGGGGACATACCCAATCCCATCAACTTATACTCCTCCTTAAGCCTTTTATTTATGATCAAATAAAATTGTAATAGGTGCCAATGGCTGAATTGAACACAATTGTACATAAACGTATATTGTAAAAACATCTCAAGTTAAAAACCAGTCAACATTGACAGAAACAAATTATACAGAAAAAAGACAAGAAGCATTTATTTTCAATTCTAAAATATACAATTATATTAATCAAACGGACAATTACAATACGAAACAATTGCAAAGGTACCGAATGCTTCAACAGTTAATGATTTAAGGCCAATATCTTTAACTCTGATTTTTGCGCGAGTTTTTGAGTCTTTCCTTGTCAAATGGATTACCAATGACATCAGTGGTGTGATTGATCCAAAACAGTTTGGTAACGTTAAAGGTTCTTTAACCACTCATTACCTGGTTGATATGCTTTACACACTGTTATCTGAGCTTGATAAACCAGGAAACTTTGGAACGATTTGCACAATTGACTTTTCTAAAGCTTTTGATTATGTTAATCATAACGTTGTTATTTGCAAGTTAATTAGCTTAGGGGTTCGTAGATCCATATACTGTACCTGTTATTGCTGATTTTCTTACTAATAGATCACAGTGTACTAAATTTAAAGGTGTCACTTCTTCTGCTAAATTTATCTCATGTGGTGTGCCTCAGGGCACGAAGTTAGGACCTATTTTATTTCTTGCACTTATTAATGATGCTGTAATTGATTACCCACACCGTTGGAAGTATATTGATGATCTAACTTTGGGGGCAATAACTAAAGCCTGGGCTTTCACTGGTGATTCAAAATGTACTATCTGACCTTGACTAATGGTGCAAAATGAATGATATGATTCCTAACCAGGCTAACAAATGTAAAGCTATAGATGCATGTGTCATTTCTAAGATCTAAACCTGATCATCCTGATTTAGTTCTTGACAATTCAACTCTTAAAACTGTTGCCACACTTAAACTTCTTGGTTTAACTATACAAAATAACTTAAAATGGGATATCCATGTTGAAGAAATATTGCTCAAAGCCTCCAAAAGGCTTTTCTCATTGTACATCTTGAAGAAAGCAAACGCTTCCATAACTGATTTAACTGCAGTCTACACCACATACATTCGACCTCTCTTAGAGTATGTCCTGTGTGGCATTCTAGTTTAACAGCTAAACAATCTAACCAGATTGAAAAATTTCAAAAAAGAGTGTGTAAAATAATTATTGGTTTTCATGCATATTCGACGTATTCAAAGGCTTTAGTTAGAGTTAACCTTAATACACTTGCTTGCAGACGTTTTGAATCACATACTCGCTTTGCTAACAGTATTCGTGAATCCCAAAGATTTAGATATTTTTTACCCAACAACACTGAGGATTGTAGGTCATCATTAAGAAATGCTAAACAATTTTCAATAATGAAATGCAGGACAGAAAGATTTAAAAAATCATGTATCCCATCTATAATAGCAATTTTAAACAATGAATCTAAGAGCGTTTTATCTATTTTAGATATACAATCACCTTTTTTTACAGTATTTTATAGATGCATCAAATTTATTGTAATTTTATAATAATGTTTTTATTCTATTTCTTGTTTTAATGATGTTTGTGTTCTTTTGTGCAATTTTTTTTTTTTTATTGAATTTTCATTAAGTGTTTGTAACCGTGCCATTTCAGTTTTTTAACTGCCAGTCATGGGTGTGTGTTTTTTATACCGAAATAAATTAATAAACAAATTAAGAGTAATTTGACCTTTCATTTACATGCAGCCCGGGTGGCCAGGAAAGCAAACATTAGTGCTCATTTAACTTTCTGGACAGAAGTTGATTATTTACAAAGCAGATGATGTTGTTAGACCTGCTTGGAAAATAACAGGAGTTGATTATTTACAAAGCAGATGATGTTGTTAGACCTGCTTGGAGAATGCTAGCTTAATAGTATGCATCTTTGTGTTTGGCAAGGATGAAGAAAACTTGTTTTGAACAGTCTTCATTTTTTATATTTTTGTATCCAATCAGCAGCCTTATTGTATGTTTTACATCATAGATTGAGATTAAAATATTGTTTTAAAATTCAATCTTTTAGGAAGGAAAACTAAGTGAAGCTCTGGAATCTCTCTTGTCACTTGAGAAGCAGACAAGAACAGTAAGTTTAACTAGTTTAATATCTAAATGCTTCCAGGACGTACATGCTTCCGCCTGTCAGTGGTGCTTATTTTTTTTGTTCATATTCCTTTTTCTTATTTTTATTCTTAATTGGTGAAAACAAAACACAGTTGGATTTGTGGGCACATGAATGGGCTTGATGACTCTGGCGGCACCATCCATAGTCTGTTTTGTGGAATTCATACTCATCTCAGCCCCACACAAAGATGTGTTCCCCGACAAAATGACTGGCTTCTACAGTATCCCAAAAAGAGTCCAGGGTTCCCAAACTGTGGTTCTGTCCTTCCTGAATTCCTATAATGCTGCCACTGCACGATGACATATCACAACCATATATGGACATATCACACCTATATATGGGCAAATCACATACTTTGTCACCTTGCATTTAGTACATCCATTTCCCTGAAGATTGTATTCTTATTCTTTTTTGGTATGTATGTATACTAACCAAACATTGGAACATGTTCTAGTTACCAGAATCAGTTAAAATTATGCTGCAGGTCCAATGATGCACCAAAAGTATGTTGACCAACTATATTTGTGGCAAAGACAAGCCAAACCATGTCACTCGTCGCAAATCCTGTTTCAGAGATACAGTAATGACCAAAACATGCTGGAATGTCAACATTTTTTAAATCTATTACATCATGCTATGCTGTTATTTTCCCCATTGCAATGTTAAAACAACAATTTTAATGATCCGGTGATTGTTTCTGCCAGAGAATGCCAAAAATCATAAACTTTGAAGGCTGATTTCTCAAATATTGTTCTTTAAACAGCTGTATGTTTTAACTCCTGTAAGCTTCATAATGAAATATCTGGTTTAAATGATTCTTTTACAATGTTATAGCTCCACAATTAGTGTTTAAATCTGTATTAATAACTAAAAATCAATTTTTGCAACGAGTGACTGGTTTGGCTTGTTTTTGCCACATTTATACAATTATGTTTTAAGAGGTCCACTCAGCAAGCTATCAGAGATCATAATGTATTTTTTGTTGAGTTCCAACCAGGAGTGTGCCAGCGGGAGGGCCAGGGGGTCAGGGCTCCTGTCGGGGAGTGCTGCCCCCCCTCCCCTATGTTGGGGAGAAAAACCACACTTCGTCAGGGAGAAAAAAATGTATGTAGTTTTGACGTATTAATGAAATACCCAAAACCGATTAAATAAGCTTTTAAAACCCTTCAATTGTCATATTTTTCGGGGCCTCGCCCCCTGGAATACTTTAAAAAAAATTATGAGTGATGCCCGACCATGCCCGCTTTTTTTCATTGAGGACATCAGCTCCCTCTTCGGGCAAATTCTGGCACCACCACTGGTTCCAACGTACATGTATGAACAGATCTGTTCACTATATTTTCATTTGTTTTCTAGGCAGCTGATATGCATTCAACTGCCAGAGTTCTGATAGCAATTGTACGTTTGTGCTTCGAACAGACTGAATGGAATCTGCTGAATGAACATATATTGCTGCTCACAAAAAGGCGAAGCCAACTTAAGCAGGTATTCAATCCGTCAATGAAGTATGCAATGACAATATATTTCAGAATGTATGAATCCTATTATATGTGTTCAATATTTATGGTTCAGTGAATTGTAACTTCATGAGTTTAGCTGCTCCAGCCACCAGGAGTGGGACTCCTCTGTATGGCACTGAAGTCCTGTAAGTAAAGAGATGGTGAGCAGTGCACCCTCAATTTCAAGCACTTTATTTATTTTGTCTGACTGGCTGCAGACATCACTCTTGCACAATCATCCAAGCTTAGCTGTTCTCAGCTATACGGGGATTACTACACCAAAAATCAATGAAAGCATGTAGAGATGTTTGGGGTCTCTGGCATAGACGTAGGAAATGCCAGCATTGATGGGTATAGAGATGTGGGGGGACACTGGCAAAGGCATAAGGAATCTGCCAGCATTGATGGGGATAGAAATGTGTGATTCATATTTTTTTTTTTGTATTTTGCAGGCAGTACAAAAAATGGTTCAAGAAGTTTGTACATATGTAGATCAGACCCCTGATCTGGATACTAAACTGAAATTGATAGACACTCTGAGAACTGTCACAGCAGGCAAGGTAAAGTGTATGCAGTCTATGGAGTGATATCTGAAGTTCTATGTTTTCTTTTTATTGTACATAACAAATTGTTATAATTTGGTATTGTAGATTTATGTGGAAATTGAGCGTGCAAGACTTACAATGAAGTTGGCCAAGATCAAGGAAGAGCAACTGGGAGAGGTGGCTGAGGCAGCAGAAATCCTACAGGACCTTCAGGTTTGTAATTGTAGGCCAAAAACATTTGTGCTGTCCAATTCAGATTCATTAGATACTCGGGCTAGACGGGTAGCCAAGTGGTAAGGTGGGACACCGCTACCTGGTTTGAGCCGCTCCATGACCAAGAACCAAGTCTTCTTGGATAAGGACTTAAAAGTGGAGGTTCAGTGTACACTTCTGGCAAATTTTTTACTTCACAGCCTATTTACGATTCCAGGCACCAAGGCGGAGCCCAGCCGGCGAGGGACCAACATACCAAATCCTGGCAAGAACTTTTGATCATGAAGCCTCCATGTATATACAATATTTTGACATCATTATCTGTTCTCTCAGTGATAAAATTTCATTTTATACAAATTAAATATTATTTTATTAAATAAATAATACCGTACATCTTATATTTATTTTTATCTTTAGCTCATGACTCATCCCAACTTTCCTCCATACCTGATTTACTCGATCTTACAGGGTTAATACTAGACGATAACATACTGTCTAGCTCTCGAGGGTTATAGACACAAAAACTCAAATAGCACGCATCGTATGGCACTTTAGCAGCATGTGCAAGCGACGCATTCGCTGTAAGAATGAACGGCTTTATTAAAAACTATTTTCTCCATGATGAAACATCTCTTTGTTATTTTTTTTTTCGATTTGCAGACGGCTTCGCGGCCCCCCAAAAATGTTTCACGACCCAACCATAGTTTGCGGAACATCGCTTTAAAGAACCCATTTCATCTTTTAGAAGGTTAGGAGTTTACTTCAATGCTATGGTTCATTTCAGCCCCTGAGGCATGGAATGAAATGAACATGAATTTACTATAAGCTCTTTATGGCTGCCAGGTAGTCACGCACCGTGTCCGTGCGAAATTCAGCACATTGACGGTGCGGGTTAT